GATGATAAACTGTTATTTATGTATATGTCTTTTTCTCTTCTAAATTGCTTCTTCATCAATATATATATAAACTAATAGAAATAAAATCTGTATTTTTCAGCAGCGAAAATAATTCATTTATTTCTTGAGAAAATTCTAAACATCTCAATAATCGATCATTGTCTTATAATTTGTTGTGTTAAATAATGTATAGTCTTCAGATTAATTACGAAATTCGAATTGATCCAGTATCTTAAGTATATTTTTTCTTTCCTATGCTTTCTAGGCGTACATCCAAATGATCGATAACACAAATCAAGTAAAGGATTATTAGACTGGTGCATATTCAGATATATTAAATATTCGTTTGTTTTTGAATGCTACGGAATTGAATAATAAATTATTAGCAGCTTTATTTTATGCAAATCATTCACTCTCTTCTAATGGGTTTTATTTTATGAATTTGCACTCATAATTTGTATGATTTTCTTTTATGCATGTATGCATTTAGCAATCCAGTATAATATGTAATGCATCGTAATCTTAGACCATCCAATAATTTGTAAAGATTGATTTCATCAGTTTCTACTAATCATGTAGCATATCGACTCGTTTTTGGATAGTCCTTTTTGTCACTGTATGTGCTTATAACATCATTCGAAAGTGAGCATTACAAGAAAAAGATACATACGAGTACAACAAGTAACTAGTCAATTGGTTTTTTTTTCAATCAAGCTAATAGTGCAGTCACAAAATAAGAAGGCAAAAACTGACTATTTATAACATGAATATACTCACATACTTACATCTTCAAAACAGGGGAATGCATTGCTGCTTCTCAACGATAGACTCGAATGCAATAACACATATTGCAAACTATAACAGAAACGTAGTCAATGCACTTGATAAATGCTAGTCCTGACTTTTGAATCATTGTAAATACGAAAGTAATAGAACGTTGTTTGAGTTATTCGAAAGAATAGTTTATATGATCTTTTTTTAAGGCACATGAACCTGAAAATGGAAGTTTTCAAAAGCATTACTCTCATGTTAACTGTGAATATTCACGAGATCTCTTTAATGCGGGAACATTTCCAAGTGTCAATGGCAGATTCAAACGAGAGTTATCCTAGTCGATAGAGCTTTACGAGCCAATCACGATGGCAAGAGATGTTTTCTCACATACTATACTTGCTTATAGAGTTTTCAGATTGAATCCTTGAATAGAGCCAAAGGCTAACCAAAAGTGTGAGATTATCGGCAAGAAAACATTAGAACAAAGGTGATTGTGAATCATTGATTATGGCGTCGCGAGTTGTCAAGCCAATAGTGAGATTATCTATTGATATACGATGGTAAATTCGTCGTGCCAAGCTCTTCCATTGACAAAAGAAATACTGATCGCAAGGCTGTTTTGTCGATATCATATCTACAGAGATGAGCATCAATCTTCGAGACTGTCTTTTCGCTATATTTGCTTTGTATGTAAAAGTATCTGTTTGCACTGACCATTAATTGAACGCGTGGGTGTTGTTTCTACTAATGTGTTTGAAGAGAAGGCCTATAGCAACATCGATGGCCTCATTCGTCTCATGAGCATAACTTTTTGGAAGACAACATGAGACAGAGCATGAAAGTTTGCATGTATCAAATACTTTCTCCACAATAGAGTCTTTTTTAGTTTTTCAAATAAAAATTCAATCATTGGATACTCAACTTCAGTTATATACGCGCACAAGTTGCAAAAAATGTGTCAGTTCGAAAGAATCCAGTGCTGCATTCCACTCAGACTACTGACAAGTAGCTTTGCATTTCTTTAACAATCGGACCAGCCACAATTTGTCCTGTTGCTGGATTGCAGTAACCCTGTACATATGACGTGTGGTTGATTGCAGGTTGTCCGATGCATTTACCGCGAACAGTAATCGAGTACTCAGTGTAATGCTTCTCGCCGTTCATGGTCAGTAGAGGCTTATCGACGCTTGGATCAACTACAAAGTACACAACAGTCACTATGATGCCTGTTTCGTCGATTAGCAATGAATACGACTGACGATTCGGATACATGATGCTCGACGTAAGATTACTCTATTGATTTGAAACAATGGAGAAAATTAATGAATTCAGCTGGGAAAGAGAAGTCTCACTTCGAAAGCAGCACCGTTGAATTTGCCAAACCACAGTTGAGGAGATAGATTACTAGCGCTGAAATTTCATCTAGATTCACCCATTTGCTGCTGACATACAACAACGTCGTCTCCTTCGCACCTTCCGTCGCTCCAGCACAACTCCACCAGTAGGTATACACTCTGCCATCGAAACCAGTTTCTACAATGCCTACAGGTCATTGTTGTACAAGATTGGTAATGTCGTATACAGAAGCATTGCCATACCCTCGACATGGATTTTTATGATCGACCAGTAATAAACGTGCGGATACAAACCTTGCTAGGAGTACACTGGAAAGGATAAAGGATAGAATAATTGACGCTTTCGACATTTATCAATTTATCTAATAATCAGTAGTGCGCAATATTTACAACAGTGCAGAGATAGTAGAATAGAATTTGACAGAAATCTCATTATGCAATGCAAACGGCTCATGATTAAAATGCTCTCTAGTTATGAAATCATCTGATTGTACAGATGAAACTTGGTTTAGACGAGTTTTGAAGGCTAAAACGTTGTATCGATTAATTAGATTCACCACCAGGAGTGTCAAGTTTCTGTTTCCTTGAGTTTCCATCCGCATAAAAAAGGAAAGTAACGCCCCTGTTCACTATTTCAATACATTCAGTAGAAAACGAATGGTATGCAGTTCAGTTGTCTGATATTTGTATAGGAAAAATTTGACTCAAAAGATTTGTTATTGTAGCAACCTTCACTGGTTCGTCGAAACTGTCAGTAGTCGCTTTGGTAGGGAGAGAGCAATAGAAACAAGACAAATACACCGAACGAAGTGATAAAGCATATGAATTGACTTAACAATGTTTTTATTTTTTGCCTCTGCGCCATTGTTATCAACTATGCTTCTAAACTACTATGCTCTTTTTTTCTCCTTCGACATGTGATGTTGTTTACACATAACGAAGATTTTCATATCTTTTCTAGTAGCAAATTCGTTCGAGTGATTCACCGTGAGAAGTAGGTCTTCTCTAACGCTAACTAAAACGAAATATTACTAATGAGTAGGACATTTTTCATTTTTTTCTCGACTAGAATGTGAATGGTGTGTGCGTAGCAATTGGTATTCAGGTTGTGGGTGTGAGTCTGCTATTGAAACGCACCCATACTTTCATTAAGCTTAGCTGTTTTATTTTAGCGTTCACTATTTTTGACAGACAAACATCGCATTTAACTGAACGTTACACACATTTGGAAAAAATGAGACTTAAAGATTCAGATGTTTAAATAAGTCTGCAATTTTTTTGCGTTTTAATAAGATGAAATCTCATCATTGAGAAGAAACCAAAGCCAACCAATAAAAGAATCTATTGAAATCATTTTTTAAATTTCTTTCATATTGCACTCAATCAGTGCACTCATGCAGATTTTCATATTTCATTTGTATGCAGTGATTGCAGCCTTCATTCAACTGTACAAACTTTGGAAAACAGAAAATGCTTTGTTTGAAATGACTTATGTTCATAATAGGCGGACACAAGTTTTTCATAAACTCTGTGGTAAAAATCGTCGATTTTTCAAAGAATACTAGCGAAAGAAGAATTGACTCAGCTCGTTCTTCTAACCGCACCTATGGATACTCTCACGGATGTGCTGCTTCTCATTTTTCAATGTTTCATTTGAGACTGAAAAATTATACAGCAAAGATACTATAACGAATAGCAAGATCGATAGTGCTTAATTCATCCAGTTTCATAACGATATATGCAAATGAAAATTGAAAGGATGTACAGATTATGCAGATAAGGAAAGGAAACAGTATCTGCAAACTATGGATCCTTGATACCAATAGGTGGCGTAACTTAAGCAAGGAACGAGAATATGAATGTGTATGCAATGAAATTACTTGATTTTTCAGAAAAATATCAAAAATAATATAAAGAAAGAATTAAGAAAATGTAACTGCATCAAACGCTTTCTCCCGCACTTCGCTGAATTCATCGCAAAAAAACGATCGAAAATATATCAACTGCTGGAGGAGAGGTGGATTAGGTTTCTGACATATCCGCTCAAGGAAGTCGTGATTGAATGGAGATTCTATTGACCAAGGAGATTGAATATCAGATCTTATGACATTGAAATTATTAATTAGATAAAACTAAGGCATAAACAAATCAATTGAAATTACTATTTTCTTTATTTCTATAGTTAATTTGTTTATAAGGGCTCGTTATTTGACCGAATACATGAATAAAATTCCCCTTCAAAAAACTAAATGTCTTCAAGACAGATCATTTGACAGATTTTTTTTATCGACTCTAAACAAATTTGGTCGCCTTAGAAATTAAAACTTGTCTCATTTATGATACTTATGTTGTTATTAGCTATTTGTAAGTGTGAAAAAGATACTTATTGAACTGAACAGTATGTGTCAAAAGATGACTCAATCGATCATTCGAAATCACATTTGTGACGCTGACGAAGACGATGTGTGATATACAAGAAGAGCCAGCAGTTGAATCGTTGCAATTCATTTTTTACGCTGGACTTGCTTGTCGCTTATTATATAATCAATTTGTTCAGAGATTTTCTTCTTGATAGTTAATCGTAGTGATGAAATGAACCAATAGCTTTTTTTCTTTTTAAAAACATTTCAATTTGTCCAATGATAAGAAATACGTCATTTCAAGGTCAAAAAGACGAGAAAAATATTGATTATTGATTTCTTTCTCTTTGCTAATACATGATATCAAAAATAATATTTAAATCATTCATCTGACGTAAGTAAACAACGAATAATTATAAACGAACTAGAAACAATTACTTAATCGATCAATACAAAAATAACAAAGATTGGTAAATTTATTTCGAATATATTTCATTTTTATAGTGCATTGATGTATTCCACCACTTCTTATATTCAACAATCAACTGGTTATTCATCATTAGTATCCTATGCACATAATCATCATTATTTTAATGCTTCCATTAGTAGTAATACACCCTCAACTAGTCGTAACTCAACACATTTATTACCTTATAGTGGTTATAATACTGATTTTGATTTATTATCACATTCATATAGTACCAAACAATCACAAAGAGAGGATGAAGATGATAATCAATCAATATCTTCATCACTGGATAACACAATGAATGGTACATTAATACCATTTAAAAAACGTTCACGTAGTGTACCAGCTGAAGAAAAAGATACTACATATTATGAGAAACGCACTCGCAATAATGAATCAGCAAAACGTTCACGTGATGCAAGACGAATTAAAGAGCAACAAATTCAACAACGTATTATTTTATTAGAACATGAAAATTTACGTTTATCAATGGAAAATCAAGCTATTGGATATCAGCTTTCTCAACTTCGTACCTTATGCGATAGAACATCAAAGTCATTACAATAAGATAAAAAAAACAGGTTTTGCTTTGTTTTGTTTTTTTTTTAAATATATGTAATAGATGAAATAAACAGATTTTCTATTATTGCTTGTAAATAATAATAAGCTCAATTCGACTAACTCTTGAATATTTCAGATAATTTGATGGCTTTTGAAATGTTCAGTTCAAAAATTTATACATCAAAATTAAAACAAGTTCATGAAAATTCTATATGATAATTAATATTGATTTCATTTTCATTTCAAACAACTCTAATCAATTTGTTGAAAGTATTTTTCTATTAGTATCAAGAGATTAACAAACGTTAAGCGAAAAGAAAAAGCAAATGATTGTTTACATCATTTGCATGCATAATCATAGTATTAATTTATGTTAATGATGTAAAATTGAAGCTTTATTTCAGATGGCATGCATAACTCAACATTCACTTGTATCATTATAATATATGACTTCAATTAAACATTTTGTGATACAACTCAAAATTAAAAATGTTAAAAATAATTGTTCTTAAGACATTTGAAGAATTGTTTTTCTTTTTGAAGTTAAATCAAATCATAGAATCAAAAGCATGAAAATGGAATCATATATATACGATACATCGATCCGTTTTTGAGTTAGATGAAAAAGAAAGATGCTTAGTCATATCGATATTTTGAGTTGTTAAATGATTCGATTCAACTGAGTTCTGTTGTCTAACAAGAAAAAAAATCAATTAACATATATCAACAATCATATTGTTTGTTCGTCAATAAAATTTTATACAAGTATTTGCAAAGAACTGGACAGGAAATGAATTTGATATACAAATTCAATAAAAATATTTTTATCTATGTTAAATTTTGATGTGTACTAAAAGCAATCAATTATTTTTGATGTGTCATAAAATATTTGATAAAATACTTTCTCATAACAGAGGAAAAAAAGAATTTCATTATTCTTTATTGTTGTTATCTTTTATTTTTTGCATTCGAACTATCATCACACATTATCACTCTAATTAGTATCCAGACATCAGTAAAGTTTTGGGTGTGAGTGTGGTTGAAAGTATCTTTGTGTTGAAGCCACACACCCACAGGGTGTGGGGTGGGTGTGTGGCTTCAACACAAAGATACTCTCAGCCACACCCACACCCTGAGCGGTCTTAAGAACAAAAATAAACTATTCAATAAATTGTACTGTGTATCAATATTATACTTCAAAATTTTCTTTTGCTTGAGTTTCAGCTAAATGTTTATGATCAAGTTGTTCAATATGACGATTAATGAGATAAATACCACTATTAGAGATAGAAAAATCTGATTTACATGTAGAACAAGAACAAATTGTTTATTAGTTCGATATTCTCTAAGAAATGGTGTGTATTTAGGATTTTTCAGCCTTTGTTGAACGAAGATACAACATCTTCATGACTTTGATGAACTGTGTTTTTTTCTTTGATATTGATAGTTGGGTTGTCTCAGAAATCAGAAGATTCCTCACATGTTGTGGTTGTTGTTGTTGCTTTTCAATCTTCAGAAATTTCAATTTCATAATCCTTGTTCAATTCCATATGAAGTATCATCAAATCCATTGAAGAAAGAATCTAAAACTAGATTCATTTGCGAGACAATATATATTTGTCAAATATAATAGAAACAAGTAATGAAACAATCCGAAATGAGAAAAGGAGGAAAATTCCTTAAAATTTATTTCATTTTTCATAGGAAAAATAGTATGTAAAACAGAATAATTCAAGACAAAATGGATATTAATATGTATTGGTCAGTTCTTTACCAACACATTTTACTATAGATGCCTTTATATAAATGACAAAACTCTAACCCTTTGAGGACCGTGGGACAACTGTTGTCCCATCTGTTATCTAGTAAAGAAAATGTTTGCTTTTCTTTTAATCGCTATGACTCGTAAGGTAATATGTCGTCTCATCTGCCATCTCATGCACAGCTGTTCTCTCTTTCTTCCTGTCATATAGATTTCTCTCAGATGTTCTTCTTTGTTTCTGTTATTATATACTGACGTCATGATATCTTTCTCTCTTGTTTTAATGTATTATCATAAGATTCTTATGTGATCATTTTGAGTCAAACACAATAAACTGATTGAAGAACAGCTTTTATATTGAAAAAAGAAATTCGGACCTCAAAGGGTTAAGTTTTCGAAAATTGTGCAACACATGGAAATTTTTAAAAACCAAACTATATCAAGTGACAGTTGATACCCTTTTTGGTGTCATATCACGAACGTTGGTTTTTCGTTAATAACTTCTCTGAACAAAGCTCTGAAGTGTTGATTTTTCATGGCAACTAGAGTACATAGACACTTGTACAGAATGCAAAAATCATATCTAAATCAGCTGATAATTCTGAGGTATGCATGCTCCAAATTTGCGATGTCTCGTCGCTAACGAATGATTTAGTCCATATATAAACTAGAGTAATAAGAAAAAGTTAGTGAGAAATTTAGCAAGCAACAAATAAATAGGATACATATAAAATTTTAATAATAAAATCTGTAAATGAAGCATATGACAATACATATTGTTGTTAATAGAATCCGAAGTAAAAGACAATTACAGCAATCATTCGAAATAAATCACAATTACAAACACATACGAAAAAAAAAGAAATGACACAGAACTGCAAAGAAGACTAAACATTTATTTGTAAACACAAATTAACAAATATTTAAGTATGTATGGCAGCTGTTTGTTGAGTTGGTGACGATGCTTTATTATTTGTACCATTATAACAATGAACTTCATCTATAGTTGGTGCTTGACGAACTTTTACTGATATTAATTTAGATGGTTTTGGTGGTGGTGGAGCTGCACCTTTTTTACTTGATTTTGAAAGTACTGGTGAAACTGATGGATGCTGACCATTTTGCGAAACTATTATTGATGGTTCAACTGTGACTAAAAAAAAAAAAACATCGATGAGAAACACTTCTGATCTCTATCGAAAAAAATCTTTTCAACTGATATTTTCTGTTCCTAAGGTTTATTATACAGATCAAATTCGTAGAAAGATGTGTCATTAGATCTTCCTTCTCGCATTATGATGATTTTTACTAAATTTTCACTTTATTGAAGGACACAAGGAGAAAAAGTAAATCAAAAAGTTTAAGTTGAAAACAGACGATCTCTTCTCAAGATAATATATTCTTAATAAAAGTTTTTCTTTTTTCAAATCTAAATATTTCAAGGAAGAAAACAACCAATTTGACTTAAACTTTCTAGATATAATGAGGAACATAAGATCTACAAGATATACCAAAGGTCAAATGAAGCTTATAAACAATGTATAAAAGATAATGGTTGAAGTTTTTGAAGAGCCACAAACAACTTTTTATGAAGGAATACATGGACAATTCAATCGTTATAAAATAATGATGTCAAAAAAAATGATTAAAAATTAATTAATGAAAATCTGCATGGTCTGAAGCGCATAATGACGATAGAATTTCGAGTAGGTGTTAACAAAACAAGAAAACGATGCATATTGTTGATGGCATCGTAAAAAGTTCTAATTTTAAATTGTGACCGAAAGTGTTACCTTTTCTACACTGTCGATCATCTCAGACTTTATGAATAAAAACTTACAAATCTTCTATTCGACGAAAAAGATTTCTTACTTTTTCGGAAAACAGCATATTTTTCAAGCGGATGATAGAAAAAATAATCAAATATTTTCGCCAAAAAGAAGATGTTGAATAACAATGGCACTTTCATTAATTCTGACGATAATTGATTTTTTTTTTTGAAAAGGGGCTTAATTCATTTTTTCTCTTCATATCGGCTGAACTTTCATTATAATGATTATAACTTGAAAAAAATGATCTAATTGAACATATCTCTTAAAGGCTATTGTTTGCACAATTGATTTTATCAATGGACAAAAGAGGAACTCGGAAGTAAATCTGTCTCTCGATATGATATGCTATTTAGATGTACATTTGATAGCCCAATGTCCTCTCTTCGAGTAATACTAGCTCTGGTTTTAACCAGAAGGTCAATCTGACACAGACTTCTTGCGCTCTTCATACACATTGACTAACTACAAGAGCAGGTATATGCCAAAATGCACTGAGAATGCTATCGGATGGGTGATCTATGACAAACATCCGTTAGTGATATGTAGAAGATCATTTCATAGCTGATGGTGTTGATGTAAGATATCATGTAAAAGAATATATTTGTTCGAAATAATTACTTTTTAATGGTGTTGATTGAAATGAAGGTGGATCATGTTCAATCGATTTTAAAACTTCCTCACTGAAAATGAAATATACAATTTCATTGAAAGATAAACAACAATCGAAATATTTACTGTGATGGATGATTATTGGTAATATTCATTGAATTTAAATCAATTGCAGAATCAGAATTCGTACTAAAACCACTGTTTGTTTCATTTTGATTTGATTTTACTATTATTATTGATTCAGGTTCATCAATTTCATTTTTATTCTAAAACAAAGAAATAAAAATAGAAATATCAAAATAACAATCATATAATTTATTTACATCAATATTCTTAGGTGTAAATGAAGAAATTGAATCTTTTGATAATGTTTCATGATGTTTTTCATGTGTCAATTCATTCATATGATCATTTGATTCATTTTTTTGCGAACCTATTTGTTTACTTGATTGATCTTCTATTAATCTTAATATTGTTTTACGTTGAAGTTTATCATATGAAATCATCATTGAATAAGATGAAATATTTTGTAATGAAAATGTTACTTCTGTTAATTCAGATGATGATTGTAAATAAAAAGCATGTCCATATGGTGTAAATTGTACACTTGATAATGCTGTAATATCAGTTGGTTTGACACAATTAAATAAAACTTGACGACGCAATGTTGGTAATGAATAAATACCAATTTGACCCGTATTATCCAAACATATAAGACAATTTTCTGAATGAGATTCATCTGGATTATCTAAAATAGTTTTATTGACGAAGAGGAACTTTAAAATATAAGCAATATATTTACCTGTTTTAAGTGTAAATTTATTAATATTTATTTTTCGTACACGCGTACCTTCTGTTGCTGTTAATTTATATTTACAAAGCGGTTTTAAATGTGGTAATGTAAATATCTGAGAAAGAAAAATTTTCAATGAAAAAAAAAAAATGAAAAAAATTGTTTGTACTTTAAATTGTTCTTCAGAACAGATGAGGACTTTATGTGCAATAACATTGTCTGAATTCGTTGTTGCTGGATTAGGAATATCTGAAATTGAGCATGTGGAATCAATTGATGGAATATTTGAACCTTGTCCTATAGATTGATTTGAATTATCAAGCACAATAATACTTAATACAGGTGCCTTATGTTTTAATCGAATTTCTTTTGCTAGGATAAAATAATTTAAATTCAATAATTAGATAAAAAAAAACACAATTCTTACCTAATGAACAACTACTTGTTTGATCTGTAGTAATTGTTGTTCGATTTATTGATTGAGATTCAAAACCAATTATTGAATAAACATACACATGTCCACCATTTGTACCAACCCAAAGAGAACGAGTTCGATCATGTACTAAATAAATAAATAAATCGTTACTTAGAAAAAAAAAGAAAGACGACTTATTTCTTTGAACTTACGACTATTGAGAAAAGTTTTAGCAAAATAAAGACAACGAATCATACTAATGACTTGATCATCATTTTGTTTAAATTCTCGAAACTCAACTTGTCGTTCAACAGGTACACGTGTTATCTCTTCTAAATGAATACTTGTTGGTGATAATGAATTATTTTCATCTATTCGTTGTGTTGTTGGTATCATTGTAGATTTTTTTATTGTGCGTCCTTTACGAAAACGACGAAAAGATTCTCGAAGAGATTTTTTTAATGAACGTCCACGAATTAATGTTGATTCACCAATTGATGATGGAATTTTAGATGTATGTCCTAAAGTGTTTGGATCAAGTGTGCATTTAGCAGTAAGAATTCGATTTTGTTGATAATTAATTAATGTAAAACCGTGTGCTGTACCAACAGCATAACTAAACAAAATTAAAAAAAAAAATTGTTAACATAACCAGTATGAATTATAATACGAAATATAATTTAGCTGTTCCATTGCTAATTACAGGGAGATTGGTTTATTCTATCTATTTTAAGACACATTTATTCACCATCCTTTTAATTTATTGTTCAAAACTGGTATTAATGCTACTATGAATTAGCATTTTACTACACTTTTGATTCTGATTGCAAGCGACTCGTCATCTTTCAGCAGCTACTACGAATTAGATAAAATAGGTAAACATCATAAATAAGGCCGTACAAGTAAAATTTATGTTTCAAACTGTCGTTCTAACTATATTCATTAGTAGAAGCTAATCGTAATGCATCAAAGAATAACGACTGATGAATCGTATAATTCTTTTATTGAGTTTTCACGGAACTTTTATCATGAGTTTAAGTTACTAGTGAATATTACTTATCTTGCAGGTTGACAAAACTCCAAATAAATAATACGAGCTCAAACATATAAATTTACAAATTTTTCATGTCGACTATTTGGTCCTAAAGTAGTGTTATGCACGCAGTATTTTCCCTAAATGTGAATGAACACTGAATAAATACTTCGCATCAAGACTAAGATCTTTTTTTTTGAATCTGACTTCCGATATAGAAGTATTTTAGCTTTCGAATGACATACTTTTCTTATAGGAAGTTATTTTCTCGGTTAATGGAAGAAGAAAAACATATCCTTGAAAATGTCAGATCCGACTACATATGAACTGAACATGTGTTGTTCGAATGTTTCCGCAATGGAATAAAGAAAACAGTATTTCTACTGATTAAAATATGTCATTCGAAAGCTACAAAACTTCTCTATCGAATCTGAACTACACAAATGATCTTAATCGTCACTCAAATTTTTTGCTGTTTATTCACAGCTAGTAAAATTCCCTGTGCTAGACAATACCTTAGGAGGACTCCGAGATTTTCATGAAAAACTGTAAACAATCTATTTCTCAGAAAGCTTACGAGAAAAGGAGGACTGATAAGTACAGATAATTAGTATCAAGTGCGATACATAATTACACAAAAAATCAAGTTATTAGCTACAGTAATTTATAAGGATTGCTTCTGGTACTCTTTTTCTGTCGGCTCGTGTTTCGCAAAAAGCAATATTTATAATATTAAAATTGATTATACCATTGAATATCAGAACATAAAGCTAAAGCTGAAACAGCAGCCGGCGGATAAAGTTGAATAAATGATGTAGCGATAAAACCAGATGATACAAATGTTGATTTAGTTCTCATTTCTTCATGTCCTTTCCATACATAACTTTCACAACCATCTAATAAATTTACTGTTATTGTCTATGAGAAAAAGAAAAGTACAATTCTCTTTTTTTTCAAGAAGAAAAAGTAACTTACTAGTAAGTTCACATCAGTAGGTTCAGCTGTAAATTGAAATGTAAGAACTTGTCCAGCTGTTCCAGCGACAATAAGAGTATTTGTATTAGTACATAATGCTAGTTTTTGTATAGCTAGACGTGGATCATCACAATATGGATCATAAATACCAGTCTACAAAATAGTTATATTATAATTGAAAAACATATCGAGCTTTACTCTCTGTCAATAGCAATATGATAATCAGCTAAACCTCTCAGTAACAAAACTCTTTACATAAGATTTCTATTGAATACTTATGTTTTCTATTTGCTAGTAGGTACGTTCACGAAAAGGGTCATGTTGGTATAGAAATTTCAAACTTACTCAATTAGAAACCTTCGACGCTCTAAAATTTGTTGAGAGCACTTTAAGTCCGAACTAACTCTAAAAACTTCTCACACCGCTTTAATTCTAACGTGGAAAAACTCTGCTTTCCCCAACTGACTAATCGCTTATGAATCAGAGACACTCATGAACTATAAATATCCTGAAAATAGTTTAGATCCTTAGCGTATTGCTGCAGATGTACTGTGCTTTTACGGTATGTTTTCAACTTAAAAACATGATTTCCTTAAGAACATCAAGAAAATTAATTTTTTAATTGGAGTTTTAAGCTTTACAAGGAGACATGCTTTAATGAGAACATTGTATTTCGAAAGATTCAAATCATTTTGGTAGCTCTTATCTTAAGATAAATCTATGCTAAAAGCATGTCTTTTTACATCGCTTATACATTTCGATGAGTTAGATGTACTCATTTCCGGATACGAGCAAATTAAAAGATCTGAAACTTTCATAATAAACTATTCTGATTGAGACTTGTCCCTATGCAAAGTTTCAATGTCATTGAAAAACCACTAGTTTATTTGAGGGTTCAAACTCATTTCAACGCAATCATAACTCATTAGAGTTTTAATTGGAGTCCATCGAGTTAGACATGGATCCGAAGATTTTGCATTGGATGAGCTCTACATATAATAATCTTGTTCAAATCTGTATAAAAATCCTATTCAAAAGTTTCTATTTGACTCTTCAACAAAAAGTTTGTATTACGAACGTCACTAAGTTTTAGTTTTAAATTCAATATATTACACAAACCTTTCTAAATGGTGGCCATGTTTCTTCATCTGTATCATCATTTATTGGCTGTTCAATTTGAAAATAATCACTTGTTTTTAACTTATAAATCAATGGCATAGAAATATTTGTTACATCCCAAAATTGTACCGATCCATCTTCATGTCTAATCAAATAAAATAATCAAACATCTTAAATTTTCTCTTCTTATCTTAGTTTTGAATATGACTCACCCAGTTAGTAATAAATGTTTTTGTTGTGAATCATGTTCAATTTTAGTTATTTCTCCACCTGTTATTGGCCATTTCTAAAAAAAAGAAAAGGAAAATTTCAATTTTATTATCTATTTAACAAAAACAAAAATAACAAACTCGATCTGAATAATCTTCAAATTGTATTGATGCATAATTAATAAGTTTTTTATAAAATTCTTGATTAACATTACATGCAAATGTTGTACATATAACAGGTGATGCATGAATACTATTCAAATATGGTAAAGGATATGATGGCCAACTATCAGTAATAAGATCAATCATGACGATTTCTTCATGTAATAAAATTACAAGTGATTGAGGATCATCACGAGCTAAAATTAAATAAAAATAATAATAAAATACGTTTGAATGTTTTTGATAAATAATCATACATCCATCATTTGATAATTTATCAATAGTAAAAAAATCAATGATTCCTGTTGTAAAATCAAATGTTACATGTCGTGTTCGTTCATTATTATGTTCATTTTCACATAGACAACTAACAGTATGTTTATTGGAATAACTTGAACGAGGTAAACCACCGGAAAATATTATTAAAGGATCACCACTAATAACAAGGAAAGACATAAAAAAATTCTTTAAACAACACAAAAAAAAAAATCTTACTTTCTCATAATTTTTACATCAATTTTTGTCATTGGTGTACATGGATATGGTCCATAAGGAATTTTTTCTATTTCAACTATATTTAATTGTTGTTTAGCATCCCATAATGCATAACTTCCATTACTATGACAAGTAGCAAAATTTCTACCCTGATTATACCAACAAACAGATTCGACTTCCTATTTACACATAAAAACAAAAATAAAATAAATTATTTATCTTAAAACAGGAAAGAAAAACATTACAAACCTGTTTATAAATATAAGTTCTATCATGACTATTTGATGGTAAATCCCAATGCACAATAAGTGTATTTTTATAACCAATTAAGATTTTATCATCATTTATTGGATGTTGTACAATTGATTGTACCGAACCTGGATGAATAATACGTCCACTACAGTTTTCAACAATTCTGAAAAATTCATTTCATTTATATACTAATTTATTTACGTAATTATTTCTTACATTTTTTCTATAGTTTCTGTTGGAATAATTGGATTTGTATTGAGTGAAAAATTTTCAATATTAAATGAATAAATATTTCCATTATTAAGACCAATTAATAGATTTAAATTATTTCTTAATAAACATAATGTTTGTGTATTTTTTAAAATCATTCCAATATCTTCATTTGATGTACATAAATGATCAATATGTATAGTATTTAAATTATTTATTTCAAGTAAATGTAAATAACCATCACTTGTTAATACAAGAAGCCGTGCTATACCATTTAAAAAGATTATTTTACGAATTGATGATGTGTTAAGATCATATGATAACTGAAAATTTGGTTGACCATAACTATACAAAAAAAAAAGAAATATGAACAAGAGAAAGAACTAGAATAACAATAAAACTTACATCCGAATTTCTCCCGTATGTGTACCAATAGCAATTAATTTTAATTGAGAATCATAAGCAATTGCTGATGGATGTGATGGAAAACCTCGATCACATATTTTATTGAAGCCAAATAATTCTTTTTGAAGACGCCGACGTGATTCATTTTCTTCGGGTTGTTTTCGACCAAGTTTAAATTTAAACATATTTTTTTTTGTTTTTTGAAATTAGTTCAAACAAAAAACAAATGTTGAATTATCTAGAAATAAAAAACAGAATATGAATCATATTACCAATAAATTTGATATGATATGAGTTTAGCAGATGTGCATAGAGTACGAAAATAGGTCAGCAGCCGCTGTCCCAATTAATGTCAATGGTAAAAGAAAAAAGAAAAAACGAATAAGTGTTCTTCTTTCTTGTGTCTATCGACCAATATACTGAAACTAATATTGAACCGGTCAAACGGTCATTCTCTATTCTTCCTCTTCCTCTCTTCTTTTCGATGAACTATTCTAGAGACAGAAGGGCATTGTGAATGTCGAGTTGAGAAGAGCAAAATAAAAAAAAAAAAGCAAAGAAGAAGAAGAAAGGATCGACGCGTGCCGTCATGATGTGTTGTCTTACCTGACTAATCAAAAAAATGAGAAAAAAAACATATGTGATTCATGTAAAGTTTTTTAAAATGAGGGGGCGTTCAAAGAATAATGATTATATATCTTTTGTTTTAGATACGTGATGCATCAATTCATCGATTGTTACTATGTTGATGTGTATCTGATTACTCTTATCCTGATGTATAGATGGATGTAGTAGAAAACAAAAGACTAATCGATAAGAAGAGCACATATTTTTGATTGAATGTATTTTCTTCTTTTTTATTTTATGTGTTGAAAGAATGGTCAATCTTCTAATCTTTGATAAAATAAGATTTTTAATGGAAACGAGATAGATGAAAAAAAAATTAAGAAATAAGATACTTGACACGTTCACTTTTATTACTAGAAGGATTAAAATCGATTGAACTCGGAAGAGTTTTATTCTCAAGAGGCAAACTATTTCAACATAATAGACAAAAAGAAAAGATGAATAGAAAATTAAATTTTTATATTCAATTAGCATTTTATATACTATGAAAAATTTGTTATATGTACATAATATTTTATCGGTTAGACATGATGAGAAAAATGTTCAGATATAGCTTAATATGCTTGAAAAGAATAAAGCAAAACGATATTAGAAAGTAATTATAGTGATTGCAAGAAGAAAAATACATGTCGGTTAGGTATAAATGATTGCTTATATTCTCATGACTATTAAACATGTTATATCTTTTGTTTTCCATAAACTATCTATTTTTAATCATTCCATTAGTCAAAATATTAGCATAACATAATCAGAAGTATTGAAGTGATTATCCAACATTTGTTAAGTACACTAATTGATGATTACATCATTCATAACTCACATCTCAATCATGATTGATTTTACTTGTTGATAATAATATTTTTCTTTGATATATTACTATCTATGATAAGAAAATTATAGACAATATAAAATAAGATTTAAAATATATTTAGAATGATAATAAACAAAAACATAAGTAAAAGTATCAAGTAACAACATATGAATGAAAAGCTTGGTTTATATTATCATTTTATTCTTTGATAGATCATTCTGTGTTTCGACTAGAATAGACAAAAAAGAAAGCAAGTTAATCAATCAATCGAAAATAACAAATGAAATGATGTAACTGACAGTAATGGTGCAAGACTCCAATCAGGTTGAACTTCTTTAGCTTTAAATTCTACGCCATCATTTGTAACAATACAAACTTGATACTAAAAAGTAGAAAAATGTCAAGAAAAAACTAATAAAAAAAACGAAAACTATCACTAAAAATAACTTACACGAGCAAATGCTCGACAATCACGATAATAAAGTTGTTTAATAATTCGATCCATTAACTGCTCAGCTTGTTCTTGATTAAGTTGATTAGAAGTTTCGAGTATCGTTCTTATCCAACCCTAGAAGAAAAAAAATTAATCATAAAAAAAAAACAGTTGTCGTAAAAATCATTGAATTACTTGAGCTAAATGGTTGCCAATACCAGTGATAATTAAAAATTCTTTATAAGCTGAACCTTTATCATTAACACGTCCAAGAAATCTACAAATAATCAAATTAAGAGCTTTTTTTTTCTAATAAATTTTTCATACGTACGGTTCTTTATTTTCCATTCCTGCTACAATAACACTTGTTAATAATGGATTTAATTTAGTTCTTCGATGATACATAAGTCTTGTAGACCAAGCATAAAGTGCTAATGGTGTCATTTCACTTCCATCTTCTTGAACAAAATCTTCTTCTCTTCAAAAGTTTACATATCATAAAAGACGAACAATCTCTAAAATGATTTCACTTACACTTTTGTGTCAATAGCTTCTTTTATATAATCAGCATCAGATAAATCTCCACCAATTGCAAGAACAGTTTTATCACTAACTTGATGAATACGTGGAAGATTACGATATTTAGCTAATGAACCATATGAGCCAAGAGTATCAGCAGCTAAAATAACACCACCATTGAAAGTAAATGCAGCAACAGATGAACCAGTAACAATAGGTGTACTATTAAAATGAATTTGATATAATTATTCATAAGAAAATATTTCATCAAAACTTACACTGTACGTGTTCGAATATTTCGTTCAGCGTCGGTTTCTAGTGAACTAATTGCATGATTTTTATATGAATGATGAATATTAAAATCATCTTTATCATTGATTGTATCCCAACATGGTCGACATGGATTAAATTCGCTAAGCATTGTTTTTTTCTTCTGATTCAAATTAAAATCTAAAAATAACAACAACCAAAAAAATCTAGTAGAATTAAAGAAAAATATAAAAAATTATGTTTATTTAAATAAATTAATTTAAAAGAAAAAGATAATTTGTTACGATTTAGAAGATAATCATGAAAATAGACGATCAATAATTATTTAAAAACAGTGAACTAATCATATATGTATATTGCATAAATAATATAAGTAGGAAATTAAAAGCATTCCTTTTTTTTTCATCTTTATGCAATGCAAATGCATTTAATAAACGATTGGTTTAGCTATGTAAATCTTTCAGTAGATGTCATTCAAAATCATTGAATTTCCATTTACATCATTAGCAGAGTCGAGTGTAGAACAACTATGTCTTGACTTTCCTGTGTTGCCGCACAAGACATTATGCAAGACAGAGCAACTGCTGATTTTCATATTTCAGTTTGTTTATAAATAATATTAACATTTTCTTAAATAATAATTCAGTTCAGAGACAATGCAAAGAAAATCTAATGGGATTGTTAAGCATGAAGATTTGTTCATTAGTGTGATATAGTCGGTAATTTTTTCGTACATAAATGTCTGTTACTTACAGAACTGACTGATGTCAAATGAGATTCAAAGTTTTTCTTTTTGGTTTTTATCTCTCAATTTACTAATGGGTCTAAATAGTTTTAGTTTAGATCTGTTGCATCCTTTAGTCTCATATAAATCAATATAGGAAATGTATTGCATATTGACCATTCAATCACAACTGCTATATCCCAACTTTCGCCTACTATTGTTTTTAATGTAAAAAATGTCTATTACACTTCATTTGATTATCTGTAAAAGAGATAAGATGACTAGACGAGAGTAATACATTCTGTACTATCTTGTGTTCAGTCTTTATTTATCTTACTTCCGGATCGCAACCGGACTGCTCCTATTTTGTACTGAACTTGGTGCAATATATGTTGGTATGTGATATATTTTTCACTCATCACATCAATATTTCTAATTTCAGAAAAACTTATAACTGACCATAATTATAGAGCAAAGAAATTCAAGCAAATTTAGGAAAAGAAGAACAAGAATAAAATCCTATTGAAATCCTTAATTTGCTTAATTTTCAACACACTCTCAACAGTATGAGCGAAAGCGGCCTTAACTAACTGACGCCAGGTCCTCGATGAGCATTCAACAACTCAAGTAAACGTAGCATTTCAACAGAATTTCATTTTACAATATTTTATTCAGACTGTTTCTTTCAAACAAATGATTTAAAAGTCTAGGAGGGTGCAATCCTATTTTTGGAAGCACAGGCACATAGCACGTAGTACAGTCACCACAAAACTCGATGAGACCAACTCGATGTTTGGAGTGATACCGCTCTCCTAATCACTGCCACTTTATTATTTTTGAAGAGGATGTTCGCATTTCCAGTAATTAGATTAGATTGGAAACCAACACATCCATGTTTTATTCAGATTTTCTCTTTCGAAAGGACGACTTAAAATTCTGGGAAGACAAACCCTTATATTTGACAATACAAACATATAATACATGGTACAATAACTAGAAACTTCAGAAGGATCAACTTTACCTTCTAAGGGGCGGTACTTTTTCCTTCTCCAATTGTAGAAAAATTTCAGTTTTTTTCAACCGAATTCGTCTTTTTCATTAAAAAAAAAAAGATCGTAAAATCACAAAAGAAAGTTCAGCATTCTCCGCTTTTAAAAATTTATAAAATGTATGTTTTCAACTATCAAAAAATCTTTTGCACTCCCTTCACATCCTACTTTTTTCTCTTCGTCATATCTTTCTCTTTGACGTATCTTTCTTATAATATCTTAGCAACCTGAAAAACTTGCTCATGAAGAAAATAACTCACAAACATCATATCACATATTTTCGTGGTATATTAATAAAAGTTAGAAGAAAAAAATAATAATAATATTTTTACAAATATCAAATCATTGACGCATATCAAATAACTCAGTAGTCCAATAAAACTATAATGGAAGTCAGTGATAGTCGAAAAAAATAAAAAAATCAATGTGAAAGTAATTTACAATAAAAATAAAAATAAAATACAATATGAACATATAAAAATAAAGTCTGTTATATAAAAACTTAAATAATTGAAATTATTTCTTAACCATCATAAGCATTCGAATCTCCACTATGAGAATATTGACTTCGATCTATGATATAAAACAAAACATGGTAAAAACGAAAAAAAAAAATTTTTTTTTATATAATACTAACTCGGTTGGTAATGAGTCGCTGGAATAGGTGCATAATCAGACACAGCACTATTTTGAAGTCTTCGATTATTTATCGTCGGTTGTGAATAACTAATAACAAAGAAAAGCATAGATTGATTTGAAAAAAAAAACTTTCCAACATACTTGTTAACACCAGGTCGTCTAGCATAATGATGATCACCTGTACTAACTGTTTTTGCAAATGGATCAAATTGTGTTGGTGAATTATATCCACTAGATGTTTCATAAGAAGCTTTTGCATTATTTCGATTACCTTGAACATTTCTATTATATGATGATAATGTTCGATCAATGGATTCACTGTCTGAATGATCATCTGGAGCTAGAAAGTAATTGGTCTTTCGTATATTTTATTAGATAAATTAATATTTACTAGTAGAATTCGTCTCAGATGAGTTTGTACTATGACTAGTAGAACTTGAACTATGTGAACGGAATGATGGTACTTGTGAACGATATGATCTAGATGGATGTTGATTAGATACGTTTTGTGAAGATGCTGGAAATGAACTCGATACATCAGGCTGAGAATATTCTGAATGAGAAGAACTTGAACCGCTTGAATTAGGACGGGTTGCATGTCGTTGAGAAGAAATTGGAGGGGGTGCATTATTATTATTATTGATCGGCAATTTAGCACCACTTTGGTATAAATCAAATTCACGTGCGTGAGTTTCACGGTTATCTATTAAATAAAAATTGTTGAACAAAACAACATCATTCAAGGCATTCAACTACTTACTTAAATCCATGAAATCAACAAGATTCGATCGTTGTGTTGCTTGTGTTCGATCACTTGGCATAGTTAGACGTCTAGAATTTTGACTTGAAGGAAAATTTGGAAGTAAACGATTGGTAGGAGCTCTTCTTTGTGATTGAGATGCAGGTGTACTCCTTATTTCTCGTATTATTCTAGTTGGTATATAATCTGTCACTTCAAATAGTCTCATTCGACCTTCATATTGATCAAAAACTTCTACATAACGTCGTTCCATACGTGCTCTTAATTCTGTCAGAAATTGTTTTCCATTATGTTCAATTATCGTATGATTAGGTCGAAATGGTGATAATTGATAATTATTGAATTGTTGATGATTATCGAAATTAAGTACAGAACGAGCTATTACATGAGCATCATTATACATTGTTTGATTATACATTTGAAAATGAGGCCGAAAAGAATATGAAGGATTTCGGATAATTAATTGCTTTTCTTGTGGAGACTGTTCTTGTTTTATTTGATTATCAATAATTGGAGATAGATTTCTTGGTTGCAACGACTATTGAAGAAAAAAAATTTCTATTAAAAAAGAAAAGAGAAAAGAGAAAAACAAATCATTACCTGTATGGGCGTCTGATCTAATTGAGGATGTGATGGTTCATTAGACAAATCAGTAGTTTGTTTTTCTAATTGAGAAAAACGAACAGGATCAGGAATCTATTCATGAGAACTTTACACTTAAATTTAATATCAAATATAAACATTTACCGAAAGTGTACCAACAAGAGGACGTAGTTGTAGACTATCGTGCACGTCGAATTTCGGTAGATCGATAGGTTTTCGTGGTTGTTTTTCAAGCACACGATTGTAATCCCTATTCGAACTGTTACATACGCTTACGTTGTCTATTTATTATATTGGCTTATTGTATCTAATGTTTTCTCTCTGTCCTTGACAAAACACTATAATTCAATGACTCACCTTAATAGCGTCCCCATTCAGTAGGTTGTCTTGTTTGAAAAAAAAAAGTTGAAGAAAGACACTGATCATACGAGCACATTTCTCACGAAGTTTCGCTTCGTTGCTTTTTGTCGTTTATATACAACATTTAAATGATAGGGTTGACTTTTAATAACCATAAGAAAAAAAAAACGAAGAATCAAACTATTTACATTAAAAAAGAAAAAGAAAAACTTGACTACAAATCAGTAACAGAAGCACGCATTAATGTTGTTTGATGAGGTTTTATATTAATGAGTTTTGTTGGTTTATGAGAATTTGATGTATTTGAATCTGTATCGGTACTTGATGATGAAAATGAATAACATCGTCCATTAAGACGACGATCTACTGACAATAATGGTATAATACCACAAAAACGTGAATTTCCATTTGTCGATGATGATGATGATGATGAACTTGATGATGCATTTGATATAACTGATGATGATGGTGTATTTTGAATACGTGGTGGAGGATTTGGTTTAGGCTTTTTATTTATTGATGAAGATTTATCATTAGTTATTAATTGTTGAGAAAATGTTACTTTTGATGTAGGTTTTATAGAAGATTGTAAATGAGTCTTAGAATCATTTATTATTGGTGAAGTTCTTAATGTTTGACGAAGAACATATGATGATGAAGCAGATGAACAATTATTTGAATCAGTTGAACATATACTTGTTCGAGTACTTAAAGAATTTGCTAAACTTCTATTATCGAAATATCCATTAATCTAAAGAAAAGAAACAAGAAAAAATTTATATTGAAGAAAAAACACAACATATATAAATAAGTTTTACTTGATCACAAGTGGATTTCATTTGTTTAAGATTTTCTAATTGATTTTCATAATGTAAACGACGTTCTCGTAATTTTTCTGCTTTCTAAAGAAAAAAGAATGAAGAAAAATAATATTTTGATAAATAAGCAACAACAAAGAAAAAAATTCACAAACTTCAATAGCTTTAATTCTTCCTTCAGAATTTAATGTAACCGATTGAATTTCTTCTAATAAACGTTTTCGATCAACTAATTTTTCATTTATATTCAATGAAAATTTTCTTGATGATTTATGTTCTTGACTACTTGCTAATCTAAAATAAAAAGTTTTCATTTCTATTTAATACATTAATAAAAATTTACTGTTTCAGTTGATAAAGCATTGTTGTTAAACGTTTACATTTTTTTATTGTATAATCAAGACGTTCTGGTTCGTCATGTAAAAATCTAATAAAAGAAAATTATTTCTGATAAAGTCATTTCATCTTGTTATAAATCACTTTTCAAATAAGTCATAAATTATTGCATAACCCCTATCAAGACTAGAAACAACATAAAAAAATTTTTGTTCCTTGTTTTGAGCTTTTCAATAAAATGCAATAACCCTTCACTTGAATTCTACATCACACTCCGAAATCCATCGGAATTAGATCAGTAAAACAGTCAAGTATTTTTGCTCTTACATAGTAATAAGTTTATTTTTCCTATGTTAAATAATGAATAAGAATACCCAAATTCGTAGATTCATAAATTTCATGAAAAAAAAGTTTGTCAATGTAGGTCTTTTAAAACTAAAATGTAGAACTCACATGTTTATTTTAGTCTCATTATATTAACATAAAATATATTAAGTGAAACATGTCGAACAAACTAAAGTTGTTGTCCAAGGATAAACAATTCCCAGGAAAACGATCTGTCTTATTTATTTGTTTATTTCAACAAGGAATTTTTTCTTCTTCTACTAGCATCTGTTTGCCTTATTGTTATTCGCTCGTTGTTTTTGCATTTGTCTGGCGAAGGCTCCGAAATATTCTAGAAAAGTCTAACTCTTGTTGGTAATGCTATTCAGTGCCTTTTCCACTGCTAAATAACTCTTGAAAATGACTCTAGTACCTGTTGTCTTTAGTTGCTATGAAACGTACCCAATAATCGTTGATCTTTTCCCTGACTCCGATGGTACGAGAAGGAGAGAGTAGAGCCACACAATCTTATTTTAAAACTTACATTCATTATTTTTTATTCTTCAAAAAATGTGATGTGAGTTTAACAAAAAAAACATTAGAGAGACATTCTCATGAACAAGTAACACAAAAAGAAATATAACTGTTACTCGAAAAGAATATTCTACATCAAGAAGTTTGACTCTGCAGGACTCTATTTTCCACAGACCATCTTCACAATCGATTTTCAAGTTCAAACTTTGCATACATTAATTTCTCAATGAATCTAATTCGTTATGAAATATCAAATTTTCTAGTATCTTCCATTCAGAGATATTCAATAAAAAACGGAATTTCTTTCTATTGCATCAAAGAACTTTCAATATATATAAGTACCTAACACTTTCACAAGCAGCTAATATTCGCATCACAATTGAAGAACGATACGCGTAAGCTTAATAACTCAACAATGATAACAGTTAGTGACCCACTGTTCTCAATAATGCAGGACATTTTGCTAAAACCCATCATCTGCAAAAATTTTAAAAATTGCAGTCTGTTTCCAATTTAATATTGATTTTGACATATTTTTTTTTTACATAGAGAGACTCAAATCTATACTTCCAGACACGATTCAGATGATTATGTTCGCATATCTATTCAGTCGAATTCTATACAGTTCTGTTCACTTTTACCAAATTTCCTTGAAATGAAATACCTTTTTTTATACCTTTTTGTGAATATTTTGCGAAGATTATGGATTTTAAAATCATTATGTCTTACTTAATATTAGACAAAAAGATGTTTGGAGTTTTCCTCTTTCAATTGTTGAAAACTGCAGATAACTAGCTTTGTTTCTAGAAAGTTTGAACTCGAAAGTCGGTTTTGAAGGTAATCAAAGCATTTTGTTAGACCGATGTGTAGATATGAACTCTTTTCGAGATTATCTAATCTCATCTGAGTCTATCTAATGATGTAAGACTTCATTCAAAAGCGATTTATCATTTTACAATGTTTTTCATAGTGATATGTATAGCTTTTTTTTTACTTACTTTGTTATTAATTGTTGATTAAACGAAGAAAGTTTTTCACGTAATAGAGGAAAAGTAGCTTTTGAAAAACAAAACAAAAATGTATTTAAAATGTAATTGAAATAATTTTATCTTTTTTATTACTTTTTAAATCAACTAATGCACGACTTATTGTACTAAGTACTAATGCAAAACTTTCGACATCATTTATTGTTGCATAACATTGTTTAAATTTGACATCATTTTGAAATTGTTCAACGGTTAATTCTAAATCTCTATCAATGAAAAAATAATCAATCTTTTTATGAGACAAAAAAGAAAAACAAATATATTTTAATAATACTCAAGATCTTGATCAATTTTAGTACGATTATTAACATAGGAATCAAATGCATTTTCAATTTGATGAATTTTTTCATTTCGATTTAATCGTACGAATTGTTCCTTTATAGGAAAAAAAAAATGAAAATTAATGTTTCTTTTTTTCTTTATAAATAGTTTAATGAATAATTTACTTGAATTTTTTTGCTTGCTTGTTCAAGTTCATTTTTAAAATTTTCTTGTATTGATTGTTGCATACGTCGTATTGAAAATAAATCATTACGTAATGTATGAGTTTTAAGTTTTAATTCATGTAATTGTTGATGTAAAGATTTATTATAAAAGTCTAATAAAGTTTTTGGTTTTGTTGAGCTTGTTAATTCTTTAACCAGTTCAGTTAATGATTCAAGTTGTTTTTCCATTAATGCAATTTTAGTACTAAAATTAAAAATTTAATTTGAATCGAGTCAAAGTATTATACGAAATAAGAAACTACTTTTGTCTTAGGATCTGTTGCTAAATTATTAGAGATGATGGAATCGGTTCGTTACTCTCAGTTTCAGTTATAAGTAGTATTTACAATTTTGACACAAACCTTAAAATGGTTTGTGCGCTTAGATCTTTCTTCTCGAGTAATGATCATTTGACTGAATCTACAGCAGGATGCAGAATATAACGAAAACAATGGTATCAACAGCTTTCGTTGGAAATTTTATCTAACAGCAGATCTCATGGCACTTATCATATTTTCAAAGTTTAGGCTGAAATCGAAGGGTTTTTCTTAAGCTCCGCTTTTCATGGATTTTGAAAAACGGCTCATCAAAATTATTTGAAACTTATAGGGTAGATAGGTCTCAACGAGTAGTGCAAAAGTCTCTTAGCTACAATGTGTCTGATAGAGCTGGAATGCTTGCTTACAAATACTAGACACTTTTTAGGGTTCTTTCTTTTGGTTTCTTTTATAAAAAGCAGGTAACTCAACAAGTGTCCAGTGCCTATAAAAAATTTTTCAGCGTCATCGAACCTATCATGTGAGCGAAATGGAGGCAATTCTGCACTTTTTTGTGTAAAAATTGATCTAGAGAAAAACGAAAAAAAAAGCAAGTTTTCCTGTATATATATCAGGACTTTTTTCTCTAGATCAAGTAGCTGGACTTGTTCAGGAGTGTTAAAGGTTTCTGATTGATTCTCTCAGCACCGTTGGAATGAGAAACAATCATTATTATTAGGAGAATTTTGCATACAAATAATACTTGCAACATGAATTTTTCTGTCAAGAATTTCGAGAGTTGGGTTTAATAACAGTGATAACTAGAAATGAAGAATGCATTTGACTGTGAATACTTCAAAGCTTTACCAAAAATCGAAAAAACTTTGATTTTAGCATCTGGAAACGAAGAGCAGAGTTCCTCAAGATATAAGTTAGCATGAACAATAAATGAAACTTCCATGATGTGATAAGTCCCAAGAGATGTATTAGTCGTGCAAAAGTTTAAATGAAAACTCCTTTTTATGATTTTTTTTCGTTATATTTTACAATAGACTGAAAGTTTAGAAAAATAGATACAACTCGAGAAGAAAAGCCTACGGGTATAAACCCTTTTTTTTCAATTGTTTATCAAAAGTGTTAGTGCTACTTATAAGCTCAAACAGAATATTTGTTGGAGAGACTACCTTGTCAATTCAATCCTTTCATGATAGGATTCTTTTTTTTTCGAAGCAAACTAATGAAATACGAGAAAAATCTCATAACGAAAGGTTCCTCGGCATTTCAAGTAAAACTTTATTCAATTAAGAAAAAATAATAATAATTTTTCATTACCGAGCAGCTTCCTCATCATTTCGAGGTGTTGTTGGAGTACTTCTTGGTGATGATAATATACCTTTTAGTACTATAATATAAAAGCTATTAGATAGATATTAACAAGTTTATTTATGCTTACTAGATGCTGGTTGAGTGTGACCAATAGATCCATTTGTTGAATCATTAAGAGAACACGATGAATTATCATTCGATTTATTTTCCATAGAACCATTAATAGATGACGTAAGACCAAAACGATTTAAACGCTGATAATTCATTTCATTTTTAACAATTGGACCTGACAATTCATCAATTTCAGGTTCTTTAAAAGAAACATGTGGTTTATTATTATTATTATTATTTAATTGAACAATTTTTAGTATAGAACGATCTTTAACATCACTGTATTAAAACGAAAAAAAAAAATTATTTTTTCTTTTCAAGCGTATTTTTATATTACCTCATATCTTCTAATTGATAAAAAATATCTTTGTCTGATTCACGTATATAAATACGAATATCATCACTATCCATTTGTTTCATTGTCAAATGTTGTGGAAATGCTCTTTAATTAAAAATAGTAAAACAAAATTCTCTACTAAGAAAACCAAACAAATATTCTACCGAACAAATAATGCTTTAAGTGTATCCAAACATGAAATATAAGCTGGTAAAAGAATTTTTTTTGTTTCATTACCACAAATTAAAAAACAAAGACCTACGAACACCAATACGAAAAAAAAATACTTTTTGCTTCTTAATTTAATTTAAAAAGAATTAATTACCAAGTGAATTTGATTTTGATTTATTTACGGCAGGTTTAACTATAAATGGAAGACTTGAACGAATACGATGGTTACGATTGAAACCTAATTATATCAAATTTATATAAATATAATGAAAAATTAAGAAATTTATATCTACCATTGATATATCCTGCTGACGATTCATCCTCAGTTGGATCAGTTGATGATGAACGTTGATGTAACAAATTATTTCTTGACTATATAAAAATAATAAATATTCTATTAAGAATAATCAATAATCTTTCTTTACCATTATTGGTGTCGAAGCTGTTGCGGATGAAAATTTTTTTTTCAGTATATCACTAAGCATATGTTGCTGTCCAGTATCATTCTACAAAAAAAAGAGAAGAAATTTCTCCTTGTTCTAATTCATTCACTCATAAAATTGAATTAATTCAGATTCATATCCACTCATTTGCCTCTGGACAATTATAAGATCTTTGAATTACATTTTGCAATACTCTGCCTATCTATTCTTATTTATTCATACCACTCATATGTCTGTTCAAGCATCATCTCGTGAATTGTATATATGGACTATATATTATGCAACAGGAATGTAATAAACATACTAGAATTAATCATTGGATAAAGATGATTTCTTAATAGTTCTTTCTTTCTCTGCTAGTCTCTGATATGTTTCATATATCTTAAAGAGAAATCAAAATGATTTCATTCGGCTGACTGCTATAGATTAAATATGATGATAGAAAAACCTTCAACAAATCGTGTGGAACTAACAGTGTCATTTTGTCGCTTTAGGTTAGCATTTACAACAAAATGATGACCATCAATTGATTTTGATTGATAGAATTTCTCGAGGGAACTTTTACTTCTCTCGATTCTTTTACCTTGATAATGCTATCATATGAAAAGTATTTAGAACAATAATTTTTGACGTTAACTTAAGATTGTTACTATTACTTGCCGATTACAACTCATTTATAATATGAATTCGTCGGCTTTACATCTCTATACTATTCGTTCTTATGTATTCTTTTTCTCTTTCTTTTCTCTTCGTCTTACATTGACGTTAGTTGGTACGGACAAGTTGTCGAAGTAAATCTCGCTCAGACACAACAATCATCTCTTCAAAAAAAACTGATAATATTGTAAAAAAAAAAGAAAAAGGGAATGTACAACAAAGAACGGATATATAAATAACACATTCATGTTATGAATGAATCTCAAATGAATTTTTGACTTCAAAAAAAAATAAACATCAATATCTGTAGTCTTTCCTTTTGATGAGCAGTTACAATGGTATTGCATATGTGTATACAGTTGTTCGACCGTGGCCTATACTAACTCCACAAACAGCAGAGGTCGGAAAGATGAAGAATTATAGTGAAAGAGAAGAAGGAATAGAGTATGTACAGGAAGCTGCATATAATGACAATGATCAAAAGAATCAAAGCAATACAGGACGTAATACAATGCAATGAATGGACAATATGTGCACGCATAAGGCAAGACAGTGTCCCCTCGAGTGTCTTTCATTATAATGACAAACTTCTTGAAGCAAAGGCAAACATGAAACATATTATCCAAGGAATTAAGTGAAGAAAGAGAAAGACAATAGACATTCATTGTAAAGAATCATATAATTAGTTAAGAATTTTTTTTTTCGTTAATTCGAATTATTCATTTAAGAAAAAAAATCTATTTCAATTTCTAATCTTAAATTTTAATTAAGAATATTTCAAGAATTTATTTACCTTGGAATATTTTTCATTATTATTATCATCTATTTCAAGACATTCATCTTCTTTAACTGATTGTAATGGCACGAAATTTCCATTTGCAATCATATTTAAACATTTATTATGATTATTTAAAATTGATGTTTCAATGTCATGAGTTGATTTTGATTTCATATGATTTATTTCATTTTTTATTGGTGTTATTAATTCACATGATGATGTTGCATCAGCTGATCGACTCATAATTGTTGTTGAATCATGACGAAATGAATTTGATGGTGTTGTTGATTGTGATGAAAATGATGAAGTTGTTGTACTACCAATACTGCGTATTGAATCAGTACGAACAGGTACAGGTGGTCGTCGTGGTTGACGTATTGTCGTATAATGATTTGTTTCATTTTTAAGTGTTGTTGATTTGATTTTTGGTGGTGTTTCAGCATATATATTATTTCTTTCCATATCAGAAAAATCAGGTGTGATCGTTTTTGATGAAATAATTGATTTCATATTTTGACAAGATTTTGTTGTTTGATAATGATCAATGTCATTGGATTTATTTTTTCGAGATATTGCATTTGTTGAAGAATCAGTAACTAAGATAAGAACATAGCTAATAATATGCTATACTGCTGGTAAAAGAAAATAACATATATTGCCATTTACTTCTTAATCAAGGTGATATATGCCTGTTGTTTAAAGAATTGGATGAGCTATTTTCTTTGATTCGATAAAAAACCTCAAAGTTCAGGTATACGACTATTTCAACATATATATGTATATATATATGGCTATATTTGTTCAACTAAAATATTCAAAGTTTTCAAAGAATGAAAGAAAAAAAAACTAAAATTAACACTGTACAAGTTGGTTCTAACCTTCTCATATTGTATATATTATTCTTAACTAGAAAAGGTCATTACTTATTGTATAGCTTCTAATATAAATTTATCCTGATCTATTTAAACAACAAGATAAAGTCTTATTCAAGGTTAGAACAAATATTAAAATGAATTTTCTTTCAAAAAATTTAATGAATTTAATATCATTCGTTTGTTCAATTAAATAAAGATTTCTAAATATAAAAAAAAACAATTGAATTGTATACTACCTGCTGTTATACATGAGGTCATTGATATATGAGTAGTAACAAATAAAACGAACGAAACTAGGGATTGACTCGAGAATAAAATGATGAGGTAAAACTTTATTTGCTAACCGCCGGAGTGAAGTCAGCATGTATAAACTACTACCGAAAGGTGATACCTGCGCGTGCATTGAATGAACTCTTCAATGATATTACATCATCGAACCAAAAAAAACAGAATCAATGAACTCGAAAAGTTAATGAGCAAACACTTACTTTCATATGTTTGTTTAGCCATCCAATGCCAAATATAATCAGAGATTTTTCTCATCGAATCAAGACTGTTACTATACATTATTATTCTTGGTTTTTTTCTTTGATATCGAATTCATCGGAATATTCTGAGTTTGTATGTTTAAACTTCTATTCTGTCTGTTTTTTTTGTTCTTTTATATTTAAATAAAAGAATAATGTCACAATAGCAATGAGGAAGAAATACAAAAAGGAATAAGAGACAAAAAAAGTGATAAACTTCATTCCTACATTGAATCAATGAATGTACCCAAGAACATCGGACTTACAAGAACCGGAACTATGAACATTCATGTTCCATACTAATTTAATATTTGTTCAATCAGATTAAAGACACAATACAAATATTTAGTTACTAATCATTTGTCCTTGATAATCAAAATGTCATTTGTCTTGTCACCAAAAAAAGAAAAAAAAGACCTTGTTAACTGAACATAACTATTCAACGACATGTGTTTATCCGAGAGTCATGTTCAATCTTTGCTAATAAAAAAATATCAAGAAAGTGTTTGCGAGCTAATTAATCAATAGATTGATCAATCGAGTTTTTTATTAGTTACAGCTATATCAACATTGATCGTTATCTCATGTGTGTTCAATCAAATGTTTGATCTCAATCTCAAGGTGATACATATGAAATTGAAAGCAATGACACAATAGGCCAGTTTTTATATTCTAACAATATGACACAGATGTTGATTGTGCTTACATCGAAGGAACAAAAAAAAAAATGACACTTAGAATTCACATTATTGAAACGATTGATACATTCTTCTACTGTAAATATAATATCCGATGATAATGATAATGGCATTTGAAAGAAAAACAAAAGTTCACAGCAATAGTAGAGTCAGTTGAACATTTTTTCAATAGATTAAACAATAGAAGAAAGTTTCAAATAAAAAATAAACTACTTTTCTACCTGTTAGTTTATATGTCATTCGTCGATGTGTAAAAAGATTTTCCAAAGATCGTGTTAGAGAAAACCGATCGCCCAATGTTGAACACATAATTGATGTTGAAGAAAAATGAAAATTCAAAACCCTCTTTAACTGTACTATACGCTATTTCTTATCTATCCTTTTTCTATCTCAGTTTGCTTATACATATATATATATATATACACCTAGCGGTTCAACTCTCTCTTTCTTCCTATTCTTTTTTTTTGCTCATTACATTTTGTCACACCTGCTTCTTTTTTTTCTTTTTTGATTATAATCAATTAAAATGTTCGATGTCATAATCACTCTAAAATAAACTAGTTATACAATTTACTCAGCTTCTTCTTAACTTAATTGAAAATTTTCTAAATATGTTGAGACCTTCATTCATTTGCACCATGTTGATAACAAATAATCTCATCTTACTCTAATCTACATATTATCTGAAAAAAGAGGAGAAGAATAATTCCATGAACGATAAGAATTTTTGTGATCTTTCTTTTTTTTTTACTTAAACGAAGTTTCATTTATTGCTAACACATTTAAATGAATAATATGTTCAAGTAAGTGAAATAAACAGAAATTAAAACCTATTTGTCATTCTCTTTAATAATAGAAGAAGAAGAAAAAAAGGTGGTTTACAGCTGGTTTAGAATTAACAATTACTCATTAGATTTTAATGAAGTCAAACTATTAATATATCATGTTAAATTTTTCATTTATTTTATATATATTTGAGTGAAGAAAAGAACAGACAGACGGATGTGGACGTCTCATTAACTATATAAAAATGGTTTTCTGTTATGTAAATGCATTTTACTGAACTTCCGCCTGTTGACAAATCAATCAAGCATATGACATAAAAGTTATTTATGTCGGAAATAATTCAAAAATATCATGCTTCATTTTTTCCTACTAGAAAAATCGAACGCAAAATAAATGAAAATTAATTTAATAATAATAAATATATTCAATTTATATATTATATCAATGTTTAGTATGTTTTTCAATTATTTTGTTTACCTTGTGTCATCCAATACTGACGAGGACGATCATGAAATGACTTTTCTAATATCCAAATATTTTCGTTGGTTGAAATAATCTTGATCATTTGATCAATTTTCATAGCTTAGAATATAATCTATATATCTAATAGATTTAACAACTAATAATCTATATTCAAAATGAGTTACATTCAGATAATGCACAATTTTAAAATAGAAATGACAACAATAGATGTTAAATGACTATAAATAGGATATATATGGTCATAAAAAAAAATGCTGTCAAACCAATGATCTTTTATTTTTTGACTAACTAACACTTTCTCACCCAACGTGAAAAAAGAATATGAGTAGATGAATTACAGTAATCGGATTCTGCTTCTTTTCTTCTTCTTTCTCTTGTATATCTTCAAGTGAGAACGATAGATATTTCATTGAATCAAGTATGCTGAAGAAATATGAGGAAATTATATTTCTATGAAGGTCATCAACTATTAGAAAAAAAAACAAACTAGAAAGAAGGCGAAGAGAAGAAAAATATTTTGTCAATGTAAACACTGGCATCGCTTATGAACATGTGTCCGAACTAATTTGAACATACATCTATGATCAATTGAATGATCAACGAGAAAGTAATGATATACAATAAAGAGAATGTAAACATCTGCTCGAGTCAATTACATCTATCGAAGACTTACTTACATTCTTTCGACTAGTCATTTTATCATACTATAAATATATATGAACCTTCTCCGAGAAATAGAAAGCAAATTTATTTTTTGCATAAATAAAACAGATCGAAAGTAGCAAATCGTTTTGTTTGAATAAGGCTTGTCACTAAACTGAACTAAGAAATGAAAATAATTAACACGAAAAAGAAACGCTATTAAGTATCTGTTAGAAGTGTTTAAAAACTCCTTGACATCTAATAGTGTATCAATATGTACTTGTGAGTGCACGTACATTGGGTACAGTGACAAACATATATACATTCAATCGTTAAATAAGAATAAAAAATTGATCATACTAATAACAAACATCAGTCAAGAACTGTTGAAATCGAGAACAATATTTAAGGTCAAATATTGATTAATATGATATGCCATGGTAATTTCATTAGAAAGAACGTTGTAATGTGTGAGTATAATATATTGAATTAATGTTTCGTAATTTCGAATTGAGATATTTTTGTCAGCACTTATTTATTCAGTGAGCCAATAATTATGTATAATATAGACGATATAAATATCTAAGCATGCTCAACCTTTTCTATCTTTATTCTATATTGTTTAAAAATTCAATTAACTTTATTTACTAACATTCATTTCACTGAAAGAACAAAAAGACTATGTAAGAGTTAATATGCAATCGAATGTTTGTCTTATTTCTCATGTTTGGTGAATTTTATTGTGTAATAATTCACACATTGTTTATCAATAGAGATTCAATATTTATTTAATAGTAGTCATTTGAAACTCAAACGTATGCAAAACTTTTTCTAGCAAATATTTCTTTCGTAAACAATAGAAATACTTACGAATATAGGATGTTTCAAGATATCTTTGCATTTTTGAATCAGATAAACCCATCGTTTAAGCAGGTATTGATTGATTTATAGAATTGAATTAAAAGAAAAATAATAACAGTTATGTCGATTGTCTTTCAATGATAGTGATGATGTTTTGTCTGTGCGTGTGTATGCTAGTCTAAAATATAAAAGTGTGATGATGACCGCCGACTCGTTTTCATACAATAAATTGTAAACAAAAGCCACACTCAATAATTACGTGCCTGATCCTCCGATTACAAGAACAACATATGTATACACATATGTATGAACCAACTGTGTAATAATAAAGAAAGCTCTAATCGACTAGTTCTGTATATGATAGGCGTAAGATGAAAGTGAGATAAAAAAAAAAGAAAAAGAAGGCGACTAGTGACGATGTCATCTGAGAAATGCATATAAAATTTGTTTTTTTTTGTCGATGTCGTACCACTCTAGCACGCTTCGTAAGATGAGAACAGTTAGAAGAGATAAAAAAGAGAGAATGAGAGATTGAAGATGAACATTTTGCTAACTTCTAGAAAAGAAAACTAAACATCATGAGACAGATGTGTATCATTGATCATATTGAGAAAATGTAAACGAATGAACAAAAGAAT